ACCAACTTTAATGCTAATCTACGCTTTCAAAATAACTTGTATTCTCAGGTCACCAGTAGACAGGTACCGATGACCAGGTTTTGAGAAGATGGAGCACGTTCAATACTCATCTCTTATTTTGATTCTTATTTTTGGTGTCTTATAAACTATTCAGAACACACTTGTATTAAATTATATTATTAATGCAATGGATGATGTTGTTGCTTGTTTTACTATTATGCATTGTTATGATACTGTACATGACGTCCTCCTCCCCCGAATGTTTCTGTCGTTCTGATTTGGGGGTGTAAATCAAAACACCACTTGTCCCATCGATGACACCAAATTGTTTTGGTCAAAATTAACTTAATATGTATTTACCAAATTCATAAATGTGGTGTTATGTTTTGAAGAAAGATTCAAGATTTTTTGATGTAAAATATATAAATGTGAAAGATGTGCAAAAGCTTTTAGTCGTTTAAGATATGTAAAAGTAATAAGATGTTTAAGATGTGTACAAGTAAATATTGAAGATGCAACATGGGATATATGAGAAAAGCCCTTGATCTTTCAAGATCTCCAACATAAAACCTCGAGATGTGAAAAAAAGTCACACTACCTCTAGTACTTTTATGAATATAAAATTGTTCTGAAAGTGTAGAGAGAATAGAGAATTTGAGAGTTGGTGTATTGTGTTGTGTGTGTGTGTGTGATGACTCCAACTCATTTATTTATACATATAACAGATAACTATTTATACTATAAATATCGGATTTCTCTATATCTTTAGTTTACCAGTTAAATTAGAAAGAATCAAAAAAATATTCCCTTTTGACCACGTGCAATCTGACTCAATCTTTCACTTGTTGATCAATCCTTGTCCTAAATAATAATAAAAACAGAAAATACCTGCCCATATATCAAGATGCAAGATAATCATCATGACGTTAGATAGTAAGCAATATATTTAGAACTGGTTAAGATGTTAAAATAAGACATAAAATATTGCCCATAACAAAAAAGATTGTTTATGATATGGCTACATTGGAAACCAAGTATGATGAGGAAGACCTTGGATTGATCCTTCTATGCTCTCTTCCGAATTCATGTTTGAATATCCATGATTCTATTACTCTGGATGAAATTTATGATGTCTTGTAATCCGAGGATAAGATGAAATAGGTGATATTTAATGAAGGGTGAAGGGTTATTTGTCCGAATCCGTCTTGGTAAAAGGGATTAGTAGGGGAAAACATTCGATCTAACTCAAGAGGTAAATAGAAGTCTTGTTGGTATTGCAAGAAAGATGGTCATGATAATTTTGAATGTTGTAAGTTGCAAAATATATAAAAGAAGAATGCCTCAAATCATTCAATGGGTAATGATGATTCTACAAACCTTGCTCATGACGATACTTCTGATAGAGAGCTGGATGATAATTGGGTTCTTAATTTAGTGTGCACTTATCACATGTGTTCTCAAAAAGATTGGTTTACTACCTTTGAACCAATTCATGATGTTGAGTTAGCCCGTGGTTTTGATGGTTCCAAATGCAAAATTAAAGGCATCACCACTATTTGTTTCAAGATGTTTTATGGCATGATTTGAACTTCAAACTGTTTGGTATATTCCTATGATCAAGAGAAATCTCATCTCCTTAAGCTTCTTTGACGACAAGGGTTACAAATGTTCAGGTGGAGATGATGTTTTGAAGATTACAAAAGGTTCTTGAGTTATGATTAAATCCAATTTGAGGAATACTTACTAAGTCCGAAAGACATTCATGTCGCACGAAACTTGATTTGAATTTCAATTCCTATAATATTTCATCTCTAAATCGGATAGACCCTTATTTGAGCAAGATATTGGTTTTAGTTCAAGGTTGCATTCATGGTCATGTTATATCTTATGGTATGAAGACCAATCGGTAACAAGTGGTTTGGCGTAATTATATTTTTTTATGAATTTATAAAACTTTAAATGTATTTTTAAGGTATTTTCCTTGATTGAAGGTTCGTGTCTAATGACATTTGGAAGATTTTATCCATCACCATGTTTTCCCATCTATGTCATTCAAGAGAGTTTAGTCGTTATAGATTTTTGGCCCTACTTATTTTTCGTTGCTTATCATTGAAGGTTTATGTTGCTAAAGAATGGTTTAGCCTCAAGGTAGAGTTTGTCCGTAATGCTTCTAAACCCTACAGGCATATGGAATCGTGTTGTTGTGAAATATACAACATTTCTAGAAATGTTGCATTTGAGGTGTGCAACTTTTATTTTAAAAGCAACATTATATGATTATTAAGACTTATATTATTTGGAAAACGAAACCTCTCTATATATCAAGGGTTTTAATATTGAATTAAGATTCTTGTGAGGCTATTATATAAAATTCTTTGTATACAATATTTTTTAGATTATTTCTTCAATGTTTCTCTCTTTCATATTAGTTTTTTCAAAATTGTTAATTATTGAGGTTTAAAGAGAATGGTTCTAGTGGTTTTTACAAAGTATATATTTTTTAGAAATGAGATTATATTAAAACAACTAGCAAAAACGCTAGAAAAAATTAAAAGATATTAGAACAAGCATTAAAAGGATAACACCGTATATTCCAATAAAGAGAAAGATACTTGACACGATGCTTGAACCATCTATAAGGCTGAAAGGAGTCGAAGTGTCAAACAAACTAGCCATGGTCGCTAACTCATTTGGAACACCGCCCCCTAGCGCTCGCTAGGGGGCTCGCCATGGATCATTCGCTGCCAGCTTAACGAGATGTGAGAGAGTATTTGTTTGGCTTGTGATTGGATGAAGGGTATTTGACCAGATTGCATGCCCATTCCTCCGTTTTTGGCAGATGGGAGGTGTCGAAGCTTTGATTTTTGTTGCTAAAACTTGCGTCTTGCGTTAACAAATTGGGAAAGAGAGTTGGGGAAGAAGATAAAGAATTTACATATTTGGTCCCCAAAGTTTCTACAACTTGTTATTTTTTGTCACAAAGATTAAACAACTTGGTATTTTTTGTCCAAAAACATAAACCTTTTTATTTAGATTATGTTTTAAATTATAGTAATCTTTTTTATTTAAATATTAAGTGCTTGTATTTAAAAAAATAGAATTTTTGTAATATTAAATGTTTGTGCATTAAAAAAATATAATTTAATTAAATTTGAAAAAGAAAATAAAAAAATGAAATGGTAGGAGTGTTACCACTCCCTATGAAATATGAAATGTTAAGAATTAGATGTTAAGACAAAAAATGATGTGTCACTTAAAAAAGTAACATGACAAGGTGTTAAATGTGTTACCATTCTTTTTAGCCTAAGAGATAAGTGGAATCTTGTCCACCGTCTTTGTAAAGAGTACCTTATTTTTTTTTTTTTATAAAAGAGTACCTTATTTTTTTTGAAAACAATATTTTTTCCAACCTTCCAAATTAACCAAATAGCAGAATAATAAGGCTAAGCTTCAATCTCTTAAACTTCTTGCTCAACCCATTGCAACTCAATATTAAAGAAATGTCATCGAGGGAGGAGAGGGTAATAAACTCGACCAAATACAAGGTATACATGATCGTCTAGTTCAGCATAAACAACTATTTGTCTATAGTTTTGTATGATATACTATTAAAGAAAATTCCAAAAAGAATGGACAATTCCATTGGTTGCGACTATTGTTGACTTCTAGTACCTGTCATTACCAAACCCACTTGGGACTCTCATTATGTTGGGAATCATTGGTACATATTCAGCTGATTGGGAATTTAAACTTCACACTTCTCAATGATCCCGAGATCCAACCCTATACTGATATTATTTTTTCCTTCTAAAAAATATCGGGATATCAATTGTTTAATTTACATAAAGAAATTTAAATGCAATAAAGTGAATAAACAGTATATTTATAGAGATTTATATCTATTATAATATTATAATTTAAAATATCTATATAACTGGCAATATTATTATTATTGAATGGTATCAACTCAATAAGATGAAAATTTATATTATTATATTTAGATATATCTTTTAAAATAGAATATATATTAGTAAAAAAAAAGATAATGGTATAATAAAAGAAATAATAGTACAACACATTAGGCTGGAGGGAGTGGTGCCACCGAAATCGCACTCCCTCCCCCGCCACATAAGCGCCACGTCATTTTTTACCATACAAATGTGGTTTTTTGCCACACCAAGGAAGTGGTGTCACACTTTTATTTTTTATTTATTTTTTTTGTTTTTTTAGCTATTTTAATTAAAACTTATTTTTTAATAAAAAAACATAATTTTTCATTACTTGAAAATTAAAAAAAAACATTACATTAAAAATTCAAAAAACATTACATCGCATTACACAAAAAAAAAAAAAAAAAAAAAACATGACATTTTTTGAGAGAGAGTGGTGATTTTTTTTTTAAATTTTGAGAGAGAGAAGAGGTTGTATTGTGGTTAAAAACAAATGAATTGTATATGTATATATAGGAAAGAAAGGCAAAAAAATAAAAAAATAAATAAAAAAGTAACGCCCAAAAGCATTCAACGGTTAATTATTCCACCAGCCAATCACGTGACGCGGTACTCCCCAGCCACAGTGCGGCCAAAACCGCACCAGACTGCAGTCTGGGGGCGGTGTGCGCGGTCCAGCTGGCACAAACCGCGGTCTCAGACCCCAGCCACACCCTCCAGCCTTATTGAGACAAGTCGTTATATTCTGATTTTTTATGGTTTAACCACTATTAATCAAAATCATCTAAGACCTATCAAGTTTGGCAATAAAGTAGGTTAAACTTGTAATCACAATAAAAAAAATTGTGGAAATTTAGTAGCTTTAGTAAAATATTTTGTGCGAAAGTTTAATCCAAAAAGTCTTGTTAAAGTGGCTCAACTTCGACAACATTTTAAATTGTGGCCACTTTAATCAGTATAGCATGTTAGAGTGGTGACTTCAGAACTGGTTTAATTTAACAAAACTGGTAATTTCAAAAATAATCAAAATATAATGGCTTTTTGTATATTGTCCAATGCTAAAGTACAAAAAATAAATAAATAATTTTGGTGTTATATATTACATTCAACCTTTAAAAAAAGGTTTCATTATTTAACAAGTGAATAATACCCTTATTAGTCATAAATACAATACAAGAAAAGGGATGTTGTGCCTTTGTATGGTTATAACCACTAGTGCACCTACCCCAACATTAGGGTTCAACCCACATGACCCATGGGGTGCACCCCATCTTGGTCTTGGTCACATGTTGGGCAAACATGTACCCTTTGCATCATCACTTGTACTTTACTACTATTCATCCGTTATATAACAACGCCATCATTAATTGTAGCCTTCTCCAATATAATTGTAATCCCAGACCTTATATAGAATCCTTCATTTGCTCTGTCACCTTCTTGTACACCCTACAAAATTCGAACCCAATTTTTGGTTATTTTATTAATTAGATTTAGCTAATCTTTTTTCAAGTATAATAAAATACGAAACTTGGCTTACATCTTTATTCATGATCTTTACATCACTCCCGATCTTTGCATTCTTGTCTATGATGCAGTTTCTGCAACACAAATGGCAACCTTGAAAAACACAATTTTCATGGTGCTTTCGATTTTTCTATTTGATTATGTTTTACCTAATTTTTGTGTTACTTCCAACCCCAATCGGGACCTTTCCGGAAGCTAGTAAAGAAGCGATCTCTGATTCTGTCTGATAATAATCTGCTCCCAACATTAACGTATCCTGTCATGTCACATTCAGTTCATTTAAATTAATGCTCTGATACCAACTTGTTACACTCCACAATACAATAAATAACTTACAAAAACTTTAATTTAGAAATATAAAAAAAAGCCTTTAATATTATTACGCTTACTTTGAGCTCGACACCCGAGTCTATACGTGACCTTTCACCCACTATCGAGTGTTCGATGTTGCATTCTCTCAAGAAACAACCGTGTGAAATAATTGCATTTTTTAACTGGGAAAATGAGACAAAAAGAGAGAATTTTATCAGACTATCATGTAAATCAATGCAATGACTAACTAGACCAATTATCTCAGGGGTCAGGGCATTCATGTCTTTTTTTACAATCATATCATACCTTTCTCCTTTTTAGTGGGATTAAAAAGTACAATTTTTGTCTTATCAACATCATTTAAAGAGTTGTTCCTTGGGTAATATTTTTGTCCGGATAAAATGATGTATACATAAGATTGTTTTTTCGATAAACTCAATAAATGATTTGAATGATAGGAATTGGGAGGAAAAAAGAAAATGTGTAAAGGGTTGGTGTCTTAAGCCAAGTTTTTTTTTTTTTTTTTTTGCCTTAACTCATTAATTCTGTCCCTTAACCCAGTAATTCTGTCCCGATTAAGCAAAAAAACGAATCTATCTACATTTCTAGTCCATTAAGCCAAAAAAAAAACAAAAACAAAAAAACATTCCCAATTTAAGTCAAAGTCGATACCAAATTACCTTGCTTTTTTCGATTTTGGATGGCGGCAAGAACCTGGGAGAAGTGAAAAAAGGAGTCTTCGGATCATAAAACTGAAACTTGGGTACCTTCAACCAACACAAAAACCGAATCCCACTTTAATCCAAACATCAAATTGCTTGTACTTATCAAAACGACACAATTTTTAACGACTAAATCACCTCATCTGTTAGCGCCAAATTCGCATCATAAAAAGATTTGATTGTTCCGATATCTTCCCAATAATCTCTGAATAAATACGCCTACAACGACAATCAAAGATTACATAAAACTAAATTCCCCCCAAAAAAATAATAAACAAAAAATAAACAGTTTATTTACTTACTTGCACATTGTGTTCGTGTACAGCAGCCGGAAGGATTTCGGATCCGAAATCATTAGATGTCGGGTACCTCCATCTTAGAAGCTTCAAAAGAATATCTCTTTTGAACACGTAAACGCCCATTGAAGCAATATACGGAGATTCTTTAGCATCTTCCGGTGATAATCCAAGTAAAGTCGTATCAATTCGCTGAAAAAACAAAAAAGAAATCAAGAAAAAACGAGATTGATTGAAGTCGTGGGTGCTTCTTGTTTTTACCATGGCTTTCAATTCGTCGTCTTTTGGTTTTTCAGCAAATTGAATGACTTGACCTTTGTTATCGAACTTTAAAAGTCCAAAATCAGCTGCTCTACTGAAAATTTTTCAATACCCTGTTAGAAATTCAATAAAAAGAAACTGAAAACAAGGATTAGGAATATGAAAATTGAGATTAAAGAACCTTTCGCCCACTGGTACACAAGAAACAGTAATATCGGCGTCTCTGTCAATGTGATTCTGTATGTTTATTTGATATGATAAGAGAAAATTAATTCCAAGTGAAGTGTTTTTAGTTTGTGATTATAAAAAATGAAAGAACATACATACCTGCAAAAGGTTCAAATAGTCCATACGATAAAGATGATCACCGGATAAGATTAGTATATCTTCGATATCTTTGTTCTTGGCATCCTAAAAAAGCCGATATAAATCAACACAAGAAACATTGAATCGATCATATTTTAATACATAGTGTACGAGTACTTGAGTTATTTGTAATAGAAAAAAGATTGGATGCAAGAAATAGCAATGTATTTTCATTATTTTAGCATCGTTGCTCCATATCATATTAGAGCACTGTACTTTGTAAAACATCTATCCAATTATATTAATGTCATTCAAAGCAATAGTCAATGCTATAACCGAGTAGATTTATCAAAATATAATGTACAATATATGCAAATAAGTAAAAGTAAAAGTACAATGACGCAATACAAAGAAATGAAAGTATGTTACTATTTCTTGCATTTAGTCCTATAAAAATCAAGCTTTTGCAAGTACATAATCAAGAAAATCCACAAAAAAAAACAGATTCACAAACGGACCTCAAAAACCCATGTAAACTGTCTAACAGCATCCGCGGTTCCTTGAAACCAATTCATTCCTGCTTCACCGGGAGTTTGAGTGGCAGCCAACACCTACCAAACAAGAAAAAAAAAGTAGTTGTTACTGTCACTGTCACTGTCACATCTGATCCAATCAGATACAAGTCAAACACAGTACTACTATCGTCTTACATAAAAAGTAAGCCTTAATATTTATAAATAATCAATAAGGTTATAATTTTCATACCTCCACAAAACCATCTCCAAAATTGACACCATTGCCAAAATACGTACGAGCAATATGACGATTAAGTGAAGCGGAATTAAACTGAGTTAAAACAAAGATCTTGTTTATAGTGCTGTTTATACAATTGCTCATTGGGATGTCTATAAGCCTATAGCATCCTCCCACAGGTACCTGTACAATACATCACACACCATCGAAATCTCATAAAAATTTCTTCTAAAAAACTTTAAAAAACTATTTATGTTTAAAAAAAAAACAAGAATTTCTTCATATATTTAAATTAAAAAAATAATAACTAAAAATACTTACAGCAGGTGTAGCGGTTTTGCTGGTAAGAGGGAAGAGTTGAGTTCCGGCACCACCGCCAAGGATGATCGCCGCCACATTTTTCGGGTTAACCCTCCGTCGCTCAAATATTGGTGCTGACAGTGTCTATATTTATAAATTATATCATGAATCAAACTCAAATTTCAAAGAAAAATCAATAAATCGGACACAAATCTACTCACATAATAGAAAAAAAAAAGTATCAAGAAAATGAGGAGAAATTATGAAACATTTTACCTCAACCATGGTTTCTTTGCCATTATCAGATGTGAGGACAGAGAAAGCAACACCAGGTTTTGTAGTTTTGCTATTTCGTTTCTGAAAACTCAACTTTTTTCGCAAATGGTTAGCCCAAACGGTGTCGTTTATGCTCCCTCTGATCTTCTCCCCTCTCAAAAACCCATCATCACAATTTCTTAAACCTCCATCACCTCCACTTAATTTCGGCAAATGGGTACTGTTTTTTGGTGTTGAACAGCAGTAATCCATCTTTAAAACAATAAATCAATGATTTAGATGATGAATGCAACAGAGATAATGAATTTTAACTACAACAAATAAAAACCCTAATATAAAAATGGAGTTCAGACCCAGCCACTAATCTAAGTAACCAAGTAAAGTATAGATCACATAAAGATATTAATTGTTACTCATAACCAAAGGTACCTCTTGTGATTTTAGTACAACTTTTTTATTCTTAAATGGTGTCAAATTGAAGTTTCCAAGAAGAAAGCTTTTGCAAGAATCTTGAACAGGGGATCTTAGAAACAGTGAGATTGTTGCATACACTTATTAAGAACTAAAAATTTGAGAACCCCAGATGAAAAAGATTAAAATTTGAGAATACCCAACTGGTGATTATGCAAAAGGAGATGAAAAAGTTGTGAATGAAAGATTTTGGGAAATGCGTGAAGGGTGGTGATTTATTTGCTTGTGAGCTCTGTCACGAGAAATCTGGTGCTTTTGCAGGCATATATGTCTTCATTTCTGGATGTATATATACTGCAAATCGGTAAATAAGCGGTTAAATTATTGAGCTTCGAAAAGGAGAAAGTATGTATAAAAAGTTGAAAATGTTTAACTCAAACCCCGTGTGAAGTAACGAAAGCAAAATGATGTTGATATAAAAACTTAAGGATTTATGACGTTTGTGTATATTGATATCTTCACAAAATTGTATATTGATATAAAAACTAAAAAGAAAATATGTATAATTATAAGTTTGACTTACGAAATTGTTTTTGCTCAAATGGTACTGGTTAATATCTATCAAGCAGGAGGACATGAATCAATTTTATCAAAAGATTTATAACGTTTGTGTATATTACTATCTTAAAAAAAGTACAATTTCATAATGTAATGAATCTGAATGTAGCTCTTTCAAATTGAACGGTGGGGGTTTTGGTTGTGCCCACACGAGGCAAAGGCTCCAACGACAGTTTTTTCCTTTTGTACAAGTTGAATAGGTATCCTTAGAGTTTAGGCATATACTAGTATTTGAGTCTACACTTTGATGCGGGTTATTATGTGTGTTTTTCTTGCCTATTAAACATATAAATTGATGAAAGTAGTACATTGTATCACAACTTAAAAAAATAGTAAAATATTAAAAGAGACGGACGTTTAGTGATTTATCAAGAGTTGAGTAGCGTTTAGGAACTATTTTCGTAAGTTGGATATATTTAGAATAATTCATAAGAATGTATGCGCCATAGCTATAAAAAAACATTACAATGTGCATTATAAGTAAATTTGAAAAGAGTATGAGTTGGATGGTTTTTAAATAATCCATAAAAATGTAAGGGCTATTACTGTAAAATAAAGTTGTGGTATCATTTTTAAGAGCTTAGAAACTATTTTCTAACTTGGGTTGTTTTTGAATAATTCATAAAAGTATAGGGACTATAACTGAAAATAAAAGTTATACATGGTGCATAAATACTTAGGTGGTTTTGTTTTTTTCGAAGCGAAAATGTCTGAAGTCTGCGGACCACCTCTGCAATCCTCTGTAGCAGAAGAAGTGGACCAAACGACTGTAGCATGTAATAAAAAGTTTGTTTGTTTTTTAACGTCTACAGACTGCTGCAATAAATTAAAATAAAGTGTGAAGAGGTTTGAAGCAGATGGTCTAGTGTTGCGCCACGCAGCACACACGCAACAGTTTTTAAGTTAAAAGTTATCTGAAAAACAAACAACTGCGATTAGCCAATTGTTGCGCGTGTGCTGCACGACGTAGCAATAAGTGGTCAGAAGTGGTTTTTTAGAAAAAAAACAAACGGTACCTTACACTACACTAACTTTCACAAAGACAAAGTTACATTTAAGTAATATATATAATTACCCAAAATTCAAGAAGATATAACGTGCGATAATGTGTAATGTCGTAATTTTGTAAGCATAGGTGTGTTTGTCAAATGTAGCAGGAAGTTGGAATTTCGTAGCTGGTAGCCGAAAGTTAAAAGTTTTAGTTTTTATTTGTATAAAAGCGTTCGAGACAAATAACTAGAGTATTTTAAAATATATAAAATTATATAAAATAACATATGAATTGTAACGTCCCAAAAACAATAACATAAACTTTTCGTTTTTGGATTAATAAATCGTTAATACATATCATTTTTCATAAAATCAAGATAATCAAGATTTAGCAAAACATCATCGAATCAGAGTAAATAACAGAATGCAGAAACATATGGTGTGTGCTCTGCAATTATCTCAAGCTCTTCCATTTGAAAACCAAAGTACCTTAAACATAAACTGAAAACCGTAAGCACAAAGCTTAAAGAGTTCCCCAATATACCTCATACCATACATAAAATAAACATATAGCGGCCCCCGCCCGACATCGGACACTGTCACGCATCGGGCCTCGCCAGGCATCGGGCCCTGCCCGACATCGAGCTGAGCTCGGTAAAAACGGGCCCCGCCAAACATACAATAACATATATCAAATAAACACATACACATGCAATAATCACATAGATACATAGCATACAGATAGTCATCGGGCCCCATCCGACATCGAACCTTAGCCCGATAAGCATATAAACACATACCGAAACATCCCAAAAATACAGTCCAAAATTTTCATTTTTAAATTATAAATAAAACCATAATCATCCAAATCATCTCATAAAACATAAGTAGTGTATCTCAAAACATCATAACATCTGTTAACAACATCTGAGTATAAAAATCCCAGGCTGAACATATGGTGTGTGCACTGCAATCATCCTGAGCCTTTCCCCTTGCTAACAGGAATACCTGAAAGGCTGAAACCAAAACTGGAAACTGTAAGCACGAAGCTTAGTGAGTCTCCCTAAACTACCACATACCATACACATAATCACATAATAACATACATTAGGCCTTGCCCGCTACATCGAGCCCCGCCCGACATCGGACCGAAGTCCGGTATACATATAACATATCAACAAAGCATATAGCATAAACACATAACATAAGCATATAAACATTCCTCGGGCTTGCCCCAACATCGGACCGAAGCCCGGAACATATAAACATAACAAAGAAGCTAAAAATTCCTCGGGTTTGCCCCGACATCGGACCGAAGCCCGGAACATATAAACAAACACATGCAAGAATCACGAAGACATCAAGCATACAAACATTCCTCGGGCTTCCCCCGACATCGGACCGAAGTCCGAAAACATATAAACATAACATATAACCTACATTGGGCTAACCCGGATATCGGACCTAAGTCCGGCATATGTTATCATACATAAATGGGTCGGCATTGGTGCCTTCGACCCGTTCCTACTGGAGGAAAACTCACCTCACAAAGATGGCTGCTGAACTTCTCGGTAAGGAATCTCTAGCGGCTGCTCCCACGACTCCTTGGCTATCATTAACAATAACACTTAGTCAAAATCCACTAATCCTTCCTCGGGTAAAATGACCATTTTAGCCCCTGATCTAGTTTGGACCATAGCCTAGGCCCAATTCCATCTAATCTTTCCAAGCCCACTAATGGCCCAATTTTATAAATTGGGCCCAACTTCTCAAATGAGCCTTCTCTTAGGCCTAAACATGTCCTTGATCCATTATCTGACTTCTGATGGCCCATTAAGGCCCAACAGCTGCTAAGTACAAAGATTTGGCCCAATCTAAGGCCCAAAAGACATGAAGCCCAAATCCTGAGAGTACGCTGAGCGTACTCCTCCATACGCTACGCGTACAGCTTGAATGGCTTGTACGCTGCGCGTACTGGCATGTACACCCAACGTACTACCCTGTTAAGCCATTAACTTAAAAAATGCTTATTCCATTAAGACCTTAAGCCCATATTATAGATTTGAGTCCCTTAGCATGTCTTAACTCATAAAGTCGACTGCTTGGTGGCTTGCAACCCACCAAATAAACCCAAACTTGGAATATAGCAACTAACTTCCATGGAAATGGCTAGATCTCATGCATGGTCACAAATGGGCATTAAATTTCGAAACTTTATTGCTTATGGGACTCATATATCACTATGGGTGGCAACCCTAGACCTAAAAACTGTTGGATTAGTATCTAAGCCCGTAAGTATATTTGGTAAGTACTTGACCCGGTTGTGCATGGTCCTTTGGGTTGCCTTCACCATAGCAACTTGACAGGGTGATTTATAAAGAGAGAGAAGATATTATGATTTATTAATATATTATGAGAATAATATATTAAAGGAATAATCATATTATTTAATTAATATTAATCATAGATTAATTGAGAATTAATTTGATGACTAAAAGAGATTAATTGAATAAAGGGGCTTAAACTGTCAAATGTGTGATAGTTGTATTTTGGGCTAGGAAACCCTCATGGATAAGGGGTGGATGAAATTATGGGAAGGATCCCATCAAGATTTCGTCCAAGGCCTTACTCCAGAAGGTTCCATGGGCTGCTTGGTGATTAAGTTGTCCATTAGGGTTTTGGCTGAAACCCTAGAAGCTCACAGTATTAATAGACCCCTTGGGTTGTAGAAATTGGCTACACTTGCTTCTTTGGAACCCTAGGGCCGATTTCTATCTCTCTCTCCTCTCTCCAAATCATCCTCTTGCTAGTTGGTGTTTGTAAGACATTAGAGGAGTGACAATTGTGACTCTAAGCTCCAAGACAAGAAGAATCAAGCAAGCTACAAAAGGTAATCATCTAGATCTGAGTTTCTTATGTATTGTATACACTAGATCTAGGGTTTGCAAGACTTGGGTAAATTGCATGTTCAATTAGAGAAACCTAGATCCAAGCATTAGGGTTTGCATGTGCACATATGAAAGTTCTTATGGCTCAAACCCATCTGTGGTATCAGAGCTTTGATTGGTTTCTATTGTATTGATGCCTTGTATAATCATTCTTGCTTTAAAATCGAATTTTGTGCTCTCTAACTGATGAACTCGATGAGTTCCTCTGGGAACTCGACGAGTTGGATGAACTCGACGAGTTTTGCTGTCAGACAGAGAGATTTTCGGGATTTCTTGCTGTTTTGCTTAAGGATAATTACCTAAATCGTTTTTGACTATTAAAATCCGAATTTTAATGTTATTTTATGATTATCCTTACCAAATCAAAAGGTAATTACCAATTGTTTAAATAATAAATTCCTTATTTGATAATACTTGATTATTTGAATTAATTGTTGAATTATCTTGCAAGTAATATTGACTAGGTCAAATTTAGATAATCATTAAATTAATTGTTTAATTTAAATTATTTGCTATTTGATCCTTTATGTTTTGAAAAAGTTCAAAACTTGTCCTCAAGTTTTGAAATTTAAATTTTGTGATTAAAAGTTTAATTTGAACTATTTAAATTTCAAACCTTAGAATTTTACAAGTTTTAAAATTCAACCTTATACTTTATAATATTATAAGATTAATATATATATATATATATATATATATATATATATATATATTGTGTGTGTGTGTGTGTGTGTGTGTGTGTGTAACTTAAATGCTAGTCTTACCGTTAGTAGGCCTCATT